TGCGTCTGCCTCCCAAGTGCTGGGATTAAAGGTGCGCACCACCATGCCTGGCTGCTTTTATTTTTGTATTTATAAATTAAAAAAAAATTTTGTCATTTTGAGATGAGTCTCCCCGTAGTGGAGCTGCCCTGGAACTCACTATGTAGACCAGGCTGGCCTTGAACTCACAGAGATCTGCCTGCCTCTGCCTCCCGAGTGCTGGGATTAAAGGTGTGCGCCACCACACCCAGCCCTATTTATTATTATTTTAATATTTTATTTTTATTGTTTTTATTTTTATGTGCATGAATGTTTTGCCTGTATATATGTAAGTGCATTCATGTCATGTAATGCCCATGGAGGTCAGAAGAGGGCATCAAATCCCCTGGAACTTGAGTTATGGATAGTTGTTAGCCACCATGTGGGTACTGGGAACCAAACCCAGGTCCTCTGTAAAAGCAGCCAGTGCTCTTAACTGCTGAGCCATGTCTCCAGCCCCTCATTTATTATTTTTATTTTATGTGTATGAATGCCTGCATGTGTTTAAGTGCACCCATGTTGTGCAATACCTGCAGAGGTCAGAAGATGATGTCAGATCCTCTGGAACTGGAGTTATGGATGATTGTTAGCTGCCATGTGGGTTCTGGGAACTGATCCCACGTCCTTTGAAAGAGCAGCTAGTGCTCTTAACCGCTGAGCCAACTCTCCACCCATCCATCTTATTTTTTGAGACAAGATCTCTTACTGAACCCAGTGCTTACCATTTCAGCTAGTCTGGCTGGCCAGTGAACCCCTGGAATCTTCTGTCTCCATACTCCCAGTGCTGGGCTTATAGGTACACACTAATATGCCCAACTTTTTATGTGGATGCTGGGGATCCAAACTTAGGTCCTTATGCTTGTGTTGCAAGCACTTTACCAGCTGAATCAGTCCCAGCCCTGCCCATGGCTTCTTATAGCTTCCTTTCCTTCTCTTCTTGCCCTTAGCCTTGCAGGGGAGGGCCGGATTGTGGTGGTGGGATTTGCTGGAGGAAACATTGCATCTCTGCCCACCAACCTGTTGCTCCTGAAGAACATCTCTGCTATGGGTCTGCGCTTGGGTCACTATCAACACCAGGACTTTGCAGTCTTTTCCAAGACTCTATCCTCAGCCTTGCAGTACTGTCAGCAAGGGCTTATCCAGCCACACACTGGTGCCGTGTTCAACCTGGAGAAGGTGAGACATGCATAAGGAATGTGGGACAGATAAGGCCAGGCAGCAATCTGTGTCAAATCTGGCAACTTTATCTCTGAGTACTATAAATCCTCCTTTTATGGATTAAAAAGGTGAACATGCCACATAGAGTAGTGGGGTGTCATGGGCCTCAGTGTGTTGGGATTCCTGCCAGTCTCCTGGCTTTTGACACAGACCCAGCATTAAGCTGAATTTTGAGGGCTCTGTTTCTGTCACTGCTGAGTCAAATAGAGGAAAGTCACAGTACTTTAGAAAATAATTTACACATGTTGATTTGAACCTTGAACTCTGCAACATACAGTCCCAAGAGGGAAGTGCTTCACTTGACCTTTGGTTTTCAAATATGCTTCAAAGTACAACCAGATGATCTGAGCTTGAGTCTGGGCAGAGCATAACTCATGCCAGGTATCAGAAGACTAACTCATCCATTAGTCACTGCAGTTAATTCTGTTGGTTATTTGCTCCCCCTTTTCATTCCTCCGTAGTCTCATTAATGTGGCTTAAACTTTCCTCCAGCGGAATTGTGTGCATGCCTGTCTGTGTAGTCTAGTTGTAAATGTGAATCTGTTGGGCGTTCACTGAGAAGCCTCTCTTATTTTTTTGGCTTAATTTGTTTTAATGTTAAAAAAAAAAACAACAAAAACAAAAAACCCAAAACTGGGTAACTCTAGTCAGCCAGCGATCCTTTGTTCAAATGCAGATTAGTGGAGGGCTCCCTGCCAAGCTTCATTGCTACCAGCCTTCCACTTCTGTTTGTTATTGTGATGAGGCACATTCTTTTTAAAAAGATTTTACTTAGGGCTGGAGAGATGGCTCATCTGTTAAGAGCACTGGCTGTTCTTGCAGAAGACAGTGGTTTGATGGTGGTTTGAATCCCAGCACCTACATGGTAGCTAACAACCATCTATAACTCCAGTTCCAGGGGTTCCCACGCCCTCTTCTGGACTCCACAGGCATTGAACAACATGAATGCACTTGGATGTATGCAGGCATAACACTCATAAACATAAAATAAAAATTTATTTTTTTATGTGTATGAGTGTTTTGCTTGACAAGTATGTAAGAGCATCCGTGTTGTTCAATGCCTGTGGAAGCCAGAAGAGGGCATGGGAACCCCTGGAATTGAGTTACAGATGGTTGTTAGCCACCATGTGAATGCTGGGAATCCAACCCAGGTCCTCTGCAAGAGCAGCCAGTGCTTTTGGCCACTGAGCCATCTCTCTAGCCTCAATGAGGTACATTCTTTTCAAGTACAGTTTATGTCCTTGTTTATCTTTTTGGTGTGTGAGTCAAGAAGGTAGCATGTTTTGGTGGAGAATATGACTGGCTGTATAGAAAACTGGCTGCGTACAGCTGTAGAATGGGGACTAGGATGTTTTCCCTGCTTTCAGATGGTGCTTTGGGAGTGGAGATGGGTATGTGGGTGGACTGAGGAAGACTGTGGCTCCTGGGCTCTGGGACCTCTTCCCTGTGCAGGCCTAAGTAGTTGCATGCCTTCACTTTCTCTTTCTCTCTCTCTCTCTCTCTCTCTCTCTCTCTCTCTCTGAGACAGGGTCTCCCTGTGGCCACAGATTGCCTAGAACTCCCTATGGAGACCATCCTGGCCTCAATCTCACAGAGATTTTGCTGCATCTGCTTCCCCAGTGCTGGGATGAAAGGCACATACCCCCACATCTGACTCTCATACTTCTCTTTTAGGAAAAGGTTTTTATGGCTTAAAGACTTGGAAACCTCCAATTTTGTAACTTCTAGGTCCCCTCCCAGCTTAAGGCTTTTCTTACATGGAGGGGAAGAGGCTGATCAGGCAGGAATGGAAATAAGTGTTATTCGAAGGTCTCCCTCCATTGATGTGCTTTCAGTGTTGCTGAGGCACGAAAAAAAAAAGCCAGTCATGGATTATTACATTAATTGTCCAAGGTTCTATCCTCGCAAACGTTAAGTTGGCGGTAATTACTAAGTGCCTGTCAGCTTGGTTTACCCCTGCTTTCCAGCCAGGGCCCTGTGCTGGATAGGGTGCATCTTCCCCTCTGCTGACTGGTGTTCTCCGGTGGCTTCTGAGCTAGGCTCCCTCACATGTTTCAAGCTCATCCACACACCACCCATTTACTGTTTCTTCTTCTTCTGTGTCAACTACCAGGCAGATGATTTAGAGGGCTAACAGTAATAGGCTAAGCACTTTGCATTACTTCACTTAACCTTTAGAACAACTCTTTGTGGTCTAAGCCATTTTTAATCACCTTTTACTGGTAAGGAACTTGGATTGAAAGCTAAGAAAGCTGCCCAGTGATAAGTAGTGTCACAGCTGACATGCAGACCTGACTGGTCTGACACCAGAATCTGTCTGCTGTGACATGTCAGAATCTCTCCTTAAAGGAGTCAAGAAGTCACTTTTTATACACTGTATTCTATAGTCTGAGGCTTCTCCACCTGTCATTGAAATAGCTGTGTGAAACAACTATCTTGTAATTAAAATGACCAGGACTATTGTATTTACTGAACATAATTTATACATGTTCTTTACATTTATTTATTTATTTATTATTTATTTAATTTATTTATTTATAGACAGAGTCTTCCTGTAGCCCCAGCTGGCCTGGAACTTACTATGTAGACCAGGCTGGCCTTGAACTCACAGAGATCTCCTGCCTCTGCCTCCCAAGTTCTGGAATTGAAGACTGCACCACCATGCCTAGCCACATTTTCATTTAAAACAAAGAAGGCAAATGAATATATAATTAATTTTACTGAACTTTATTTTTCATGTAAATGTTAATTATTTTGTCAAAACTGTTGGACTTGCAAAATAACCAGTGAACTTCTAAAATCTATATAGCGTTCGAATGGTTGGTGCTTTTACAGATTTGACCTTGATAGTTCATATTAATGTGGCAGTATGCTTTGCTTTGCAGCGTTTTAGTAGGCCAGAACCTGCACTTCTGTAGTATAGTTTCCTCTTCATTTACTTGTAATTACTTGTTCAGTGTCCATTGTTCCTCCACAGAGGCAGGAGCCGTGTGCTTATTGTACCTCCATAGCTGCAGGTTCTAACTGATGTCAGACCTCAGTTCAGATGCTGGCTATGGGCAAATTATAAATCTTTGTGCCCCAGTCCTCATCTGCTATGAAGCGATAACATACTCTACCTCCTATGGTGGCTATGAGGATTAAATAAGATAGTACACACGAAGGAACAGTGAATTTAGTGACTTTCAAATGCTCAATCTGCCATTGTTATAACATACAGAATTGAGCTTTTTCTCTTCCCCTGAAGGATAACTTCTGCATTGACATCTCAGAGGGCAGGATTAGAACAAAAGTCCTCAGGATTTGAATTTTAACTGGAATTTAACTGTTTTCTATAGGGCTGTATCTGTGTTGTGCTGGGTGGATTATGAATTAGCCCTGTGATCTCTTCAGTGAATGTTATTGTTCAGAGTCTGTTTTCTGTATGAAGCTGTCTACATGCATCCCAACCTCACATAGTACTTAAAGCTCACAGTTCTGAAATTGCTCATTATTTAAAGGTCAGGCAAGATTACCACATGAACAGGATTAATGGTAGAAATTGTTTGCTTCAATTTTTCTCTCTGTATAGGTGGAATATTCTTAAACTAAACTACCATTTGAGTTTAGATGGTATATTAATTATACCATTGTTCCAGACCCAGTGTGTGGAAGTCCTCACGTCTACTGTCCCCACACCTTAATGCTACTGCCCTCATTTCAGGCCTTGGCACTTGGCTTCTTGTCACACTTCTCTGGGCATGGCTCCTTTAGCAGATCTGCAGCCGTACAGCCTTAACTACCAGTCCTAAGTTGTCTCTTCTTACACCACTGACAGTCTTATGCTTCCCTAGAAGGAAGCAGAGCTTGGAGCAGGGCCTCCATGGGGCTCACTGGGCAGGAGTTGCTGCAGCAATGAAGCAGACGTTTGAGCCAGTAGACCTGTGGAAGCCTCTGCTTTCCTCAGGAATAGTGTGAGGGCTGGATAAGGTAGTCAGAAATGTGGAGTGCACTGTGTTGGGCAAGGATTGAGGAGTATCTTAGTAGTCCTTTCCTTTTTATTGCTGAGTAGTATATCACTGGATGGATATACCACAACCTGTTTATTCAGTTGCCCATTAGTAGACCCTTGATTGCTTTCAGGTTTTAACGATTATGAGTAAATTTTTTTGGTAAGCATTCATGTACAGATTTTTTGTGTACAAGTATGGTTTATTTATTTTAGGGCTGATTTCTAGGACATATGCTAAGTATACATTTAACTTTAAAAATTTCATATAGATAATTATTTAGTCTCCAATGGTATCCAAATAATGTCATTAAGCAAGAACGATGCTTGGCCAGAATTTGATTTTTTTTTTTTTATTATCTTTCTGAGACTGTCTTCCTGTAGCCCTGGCTGGCCTGGAACTCCCTATATAGACCAGGCTGGCTTGAACTCACAGAGATTCACCTGCCTCTGCCTCCAGAGTATTGGGATTAAAGGCGTGTGCCACCACACCCAGTCAGAATTTGATTTTAATTACTTCTAAATGATGAATTTAGATGAAACCTATGCCAAATTTTAAAACTAACAGATGTTGATACTCCCCAGAAAAGGGAAAGTTGATTATACTAGTGACTCTTTGTCTCATTATTCAGAAACAATTCTGTTTCAGTCTTAATATCTCATGATTTTGAAGACAAAGTCCCTGTAATGGCCATTCCTGTCAAAGCCCCATAACAGGTTTTCTACAGGTGGGGATACATCTGAAGTAAAAATTGGTGTTCCAGCAGATACATGGGCCAGAAGTTGAACCATCTGCTTTAGCATTTTGGGATTTCGCATCTACTGATTGCTACTTTTTGCTTAACTTTTAAACAAATTGTCAAATGGTTTTCCAGGGTGGTTGAACTATTTTGCATCCCTACCAACATTGCCTAAGAGTTGGAGTTGTTCTGTATCTGTCAGAATTTACTATTGTCAGTTGTTTAATTTT